GCCCTTCCCTTCTCTAGCCCCACCCACTGCTCCCTGTCTCTATAAAAAGGCCTGGGATCCCAGAATCTCTGATTTCAGAGGAAGTGATATCCAGAAACACAGGGTCCTTCAGGAAATCAAATTCAAAGAGGATAAAACTCCACATTGTTCTTTCTCAATGCCTGTATTCTCAGCTACTTGGACAGCTGAGGCAGAAGGATTGCAAGTTCTAAACCAGCCTGGGCAACTTAATGAGATCATGTTTCAGAATAAAATAAAAAATGCTAGAAGTGTAGCTCAGTGGTAGAGTCTCCACTACCATATGTGAGGCCCTATGTTCAATCCCCAGCACAACCAAGTAAGTAAAAGCAAAAAGGGACCTAATAAGGCTTCATGGAATTTTTACACTCTCCTTCACATTCCTAAACCAGATGGGCAGGTAGTAGACTTCCTATTTTGCAGGTGGAGAAATGGAACTAGGAGAGGGCTCAGGAGGCTGCCTAGAATTATTTTGCAAACCCAGAGAAGGGACTCTGAATTACAAACCAATTCTAATCTCTCATTTAGCCTTCTGTCTCTCTTCAGGAAGTTGTCAGCACCAGGAGCAAACAAGTGCACAGTTAATTATAAAGAAATATTTATATTTTAAATTCTTTTCAATCTGTGTGTGTGTGCATGGGTATGCACAAGTGCATATGGCCATAGCTCTGTTGTGGTTAAACATATGATATATATATATATATATATATATTGGCTTTTTCTTTTTTATCGGTACCAGGGATTGAACTCACAACTGCCTGCTTGCAAGGCAGGCGCTTATGTCACTGAGCTAAATCCCCAGCCCCCATATGATATATTTAACTACTTAAGAGTTTACCCAGAGGGGCTGGGAGTTTAGCTCAGCGGCATAAGCGCCTGCCTTGGAAGCAGGCAGTCATGAGTTCAATCCCCGGTACCGATAAAAAGGAAAAAGACCAAAAAAAAAAAAAAAAAAAAAAAAGAGTTTACCCAGAGTGTCACTCAGCCAGTGAGTTTGTTTACCTACTGACCACATGAAGTGTCACTTGGGCAAGTGTCATTTCAACCAGTTGATTCTCTTTTTGGTACTGAGAATAGAACTCAGGACCTTGTCCTTGTCAGGCAGGCACCGTGCTGCTGACTATATCCCTGACCAACCTGTCGATTTTTATATTGAACAAATTTGATAAAATTGTCATTTTTATATTTCTTGTTGTCTTATAGAAATTAATGAAAAGATATGCAATTTTTGGTCATCCTATATTAAAATAATTGGACTGGTAAGTGGTTAACCCCTGGGCACAAGTTAGCCTGATCTTTGTCACAAAAATCATATTTTGTTTAACTTTTCTTGGCCTGAAGGCATTTATTAATTCATTGGTCTCCCTAGTTACAGTTTATCTTTTGGAGAGACAAGATTCAAAATTTTTAGTGTTTTGAGGCCTAAGTATAGTATTTGATGCATTCTCCATACTACTGGACACGGCAATAAAGAACAGAACAACAACAACAACAAAAAGAACAGAGAGCAGGTTGTACAGTTCCATGAAGTAAGGAGCACGCCTGAGGATTTACATTTCCTAAAAAACTCCACTGTGACATCCACTTTACTTTCTCTTTTAAACCTCAGTAGCTTTCCTTCATAACTAAAGCCAGTAATAGCTCCAAGACTCAGCCTTATGCCAGGCACATAATAGGGACTCATGATACTTGGGGAAAGCATTAATACCTATCTTATTGGGCTATAATGAGGGTTAAACAAAATAATGAATGTTAAGAGCTGGGTGTGGTGGTGCATGCCTGTAATCCCAGCACTCGGAGGCTGAGGCAGGAGATCAGCCTGAGCTACAAAGTGAGTTAAAGGCCAGCCCGAACTGCATTGCGAGACCCTGTCTCAAAGAGACAAAAAAAAAAAAAAGTCAAGTATTTTTCATAGAACTTAGCAAATAACTGCTAATAAAAATAGCTCATATATTTGGAAAAAATACATGCATATAGAATGCAACAGTGGGCTAGAACTCAAAAAAGCTGAATTTAAGTACTAATTCTATAATTTTTAAATTTGTACTGGTGATAAATTTGAGGGGCTGGGGATTTAGCTCAGCGGCATAAGCACCTGCCTTGTAAGCAGGCAGTCGTGAGTTCGATCCCTGGTGCCGAAAAAGACAAAAAAAAATTTTTTGATATGCATGCATGTGTGCACGCGCGCGTGTGTGTGTGTGTGTGTGTGTGTGCGCGCGCGCGTGTGCACAGTCGTAGGGATTGAACCCAGGGCCTCAAGCATGCTAGGCAATCACTTTACCACTAAACTACATTCCCATCTGTCTATCATTTTAATGCAAGAAAAGCCACTGAATTTAAAATTTAAAAATTCAGATATATGGCCTGGTTCTGCCATGACCCTGCTGTGTGACCTAGGATAAGTAACTCTACTTCTTTGAATGTCAGATTCTTCATCTGCAAAGCCAGGTGACTGAGTCAGGAATATGATTCTCTTCCCTGATAGCCTATAAGTTGAATATGTAGTTTCTAAGATGTGCGGATCCCAGCGCCTGTACGCTCTCACACAGCAGACCTGGCCAGGCTTTTCCCCTGACTCTCACAGCTGGATAGTGTGAAGCAGCGACTCATCCACACACAGCCCTGCTACCCCAACAAGTTGTATAAAGTTCATCTCACCTTTACCTCCTATTATAAAAGAAAAAAATACAGAAAAAAAAAATGACTAATAAGCTCAGTGTGGTGGCACATGGCTGTAATTCCAGCACTCTGGGAGGCTGAGGCAGGACTTCAAATTGAACTCAGCCTGGGCAACTTAGAAATCTAATGTGACCTGTTTAAAAAAAAAAAAAAAAAAAAATATATATATATATATATATATATGATATATGTATACCCCATTCATCTGTAGAGCCAACCTGACCTCTGACTAGCTGCTATAATACCTCAGCGCAAAAGCGCTGGCTTTAATTCCCAGTACTGTCCCCAGACAGAATAACAATGACAACTATGTCCCCTATTAACAAAATCCAAAAAAGGGCTCTAGTGTGTTATCAGGAAATATTTATCCATATATGAAAGACAGTGCTGCAGTAATGTGCACTAATTTGCCAGCAGAGTAAAGGTATATAAAATGCAATTATGTAAAATCCTACTAAAATTCATTAGCGTCCTTTTTTTTTTTTATTTTTTATTTTTTATTACAGATTTTTTTTTTTTTTTTTTTTTTGTATTTTTACTGGTACCAGGGATCGAACTCATGACTGCCTGCTTGCAAGGCAGGCGCTTATGCCACTGAGCTAAATCCCCAGCCCCCATTAGCGTCCTTTTATTCATTCCCTTCCTCCTTAATTCTTTGAAAGCACTGGCCTGTGTATCATTAACCGTGCTTTGGTGAGCACTGTCTCACTCGACAAGCGTTCAGAATAAGAGCAAGAAAGCCAAGCATTATCCTGCACCAGGAGAAGGGGGCCCAGGGAAGTGTGCAGAACTGAAGGGGCTTGATGGAGTGATGGAAGTGTTGGAATCTGACATCAGATTGCCAGGCTATTCCTCTGATTCCAATTGCGCAGCTCTGTCTTCCTGGCTGGTACAATTCCAAGTATTTTCCGATCAACTGCCCCTCCATCCAGCAGGTAGGGTGTGTACTCCTCATTCTGGAGACGGGCAGCATTCTAGGCTGTTGAGTCTGGAGCAGGTGGACAGCAGCTAGTCAGAGGTCAGGTCAGCTCCACAGATGAATCGGGACCACTTGATGTGCTGAGGTGCATGAACATGGAGGTGTCTTGTGGGTCCCACCCAGACTGCCTCATTCCTAATACTTTGGGATCTGAGTCCAAGGAAATCTTCCCTTACCATGCACTCGAAAATAGCCGGTCTAGTTCAATTTATTACCGCCGTAATTACTGTTTTCATAGTTACTGGACTAAGCATTTTTTCAGCAGTTGTTTATTGTCTCCTTTCCCACCTTAGAAGGTACATTCCACAAAGATAGGTATTTGTTAGCCGGTATTTGTTGACAAATCTGTTTCCTAGAACCCTGCTGGCCTCCACAGCAAGTAAGCAAATTATCTGTTGACTCAAATGTAAGCCGAGGTTTGACATCCCTGTTACCAGGCCCCTTCTTTTTACAATGGAGAAACTGAGGCCCATGGAGATGGAAGTGACTGCTGCAAAGCTGGAGGGGCACAGCCAGGGGAAAAAATCATCTACCATGGAATCCCAAAGGCGCGTTGGTTCAACTCTGTCCAAAGCTGTTCTTTAGAAAGAACGGAAATCCACGTTTTTCATATACTCGGTTTTTAGGGACCAGGCCAGGTTGAGGCTATCGGCAATTCAGTTCCCACTTGGGAGGCCTCCGCTGCTGCCGAGGATTATTAGGTTTGCCTCCGCAGACGGCCTGGTCTCGAACCCCTTCCCAGCAGCGTCGGGCCGGCCAGTGGAGAGGAGCTCGGCCCAGGAGGTAAGGGCGGCCGGCCCAAGGTTACACGGTCAGAGCCTGGAGAGGTCAGGCCCCCTGGGCACCAGGCAGGCGTAGCGGTGGCGGCGCGTCTTCCCGGCGGTAAGGCCCTCTGTTCAGCTGTTGGGAATCGACGGTGATAACCATCGACTCTTTCTCCCCGAACCTGCGTCCAAACCAGAGAGCGCGCGCGGCCCGTAGTAGCCGCGTGGCCCAGTCCCATGTGCTCCACCTGCGGCAGCGCTCAGGCACTGGCCCTTTAAGGCGCCTCTCCCTCCCCCCACAGCTCCTGCCCCCTCTCCGCCTTCCCTCCTTCCCTTGCTCCCTCCCTCTCAAATTGCATCAGGCACGTGCTCGCCCCCGTCCGGTCTCGGCGCCCCCACCCCCAGCCCGGGAGGTGCTCTCTGGAATGGCAGGCGGGGGCGGGGCGAGGGGCGGTGCCTCGGAGCCTTGCGCGCGCGCGCCCGCCGCCTCCGCCCGCTGCCCGTCGCCCTGGGCCGGCCCGGCGGGCGCGCCCCCGCTGCGCCGGCCCCTCCTCTCCCCTCCCCGCCGCGTCGTGAGGCGCGCGCCCGCCCGCCGCCTGCCGCGGATCGCGTGGTCGGCTCCGCTTGCCGCGCCTCTCCCCCCCGTCCGTCCATATTGCTGCAGCCCCCGAGCCGGGAAGCCCGGGCTGCCCCGGGGGCGGGGGGAGGCAGGCACGGGACGAGAGGCTTGGCAGCAGGTTCGGGGTGGGGGCGCCGCGCGAGCAGCGGGCGGGGGGGGACGCGCGCCGCGGAGGCCTGGACCGCAGAGTGGGGGGCCTTCCTGCCCCCCCCGCCCCAGCAGTGGGCCTCGGCGCTCCCGCAGCTGCATCCGAGCGGGCAGGGGGCCGCGCCTAGCCGGAGCCCAGAGCCTTCTTCGTGGGGACTGGGGCCCGACGCCCCGGAGGCAGGCGTCGCGGGCTCTCGGCAAGCCAAGTTCGAGGCGGGGGAGGCCACCGCGGGCGCGCCCGGCTTCTCCGGGGGGGCGGGCGCGCAGATGGCCACTCAGGTGGAGCCGCTGCTGCCGGGGGGCGCCCCGCTCTTGCAGGCCGAAGAGCACGGGGCGCTGGTGAGGAAGAAGCCGCCGCCGGCGCCCGAAGGCAAGGGCGAGCCTGGGGCGAACGACGTCGGCGGGGGGGAGCCGGACGGCGGCGCCCGGAGATCTCGGCCGCCCTGCGGCAAGCCGCACAGGGAGGGCACCGCGCCGCTGGAACGCGAGAGCCCGCGGCCGCCGCAGCCGCCTGGCGCGGAGGGCCCGGCGGTCAGCGACGGAGAAGAGGGCGGTGGCGAGCCGGGCGCGGGCGGCGGAGCGGCTGGAGCGGGCGCCGGGCGCCGAGACTTCGTGGAAGCCCCCCCGCCCAAAGTGAACCCGTGGACTAAGAACGCGCTGCCACCGGTCCTGGCCACCGTGAACGGACAGTCTCCTCCAGGTGGGTCTCCGGGGTCCACGGCCTCTTCCGGGGCCCCGGGCGTCCCCTCCCCCAGCGGCCTCCCAGGCCCGGGGGTCAGACGCTGGTGGCGGTGACTAGGGGTTTTTTTGTCGCTTCCTGTCCGGTGGGAGTCGCCCGGCCGGCCGCCCGGGACCCTGGCCCGGCCCGAGGACTGGGCCTCCGAGGTCACAGGCCGGGCCGAGCGGTTAGTGGGCAACGGCGTGGTTCGGGCCTAGCTCGCCGGGAGCGGTGGGCGCCGGGCGCGGTGGGCAGGGCCCGCGGTCCCCGCGGCGCGTCGGGCTTCACAGAGACCCTCGCCCGGACCGTCCCCGGCTCCCTTCTCGAAGCTCGGTGGCCTCGCGAGCGTCCCGGCGTTGTAAATGTTTAATGAGCATATGTCACGGGTAGCACCGTGCCAGGCGCGGAGTGGCTGCCGGCCGCACGGCTCAGAGGTTGAAAGTTAGCGAGTTGTGTTGCCCAGGCGGTGCCGGGCGGTAGACTCGCCCTTCGGGGACGGGTAAAGGGGCAGTTGCGGGTTGAAAGGGAGCAGAAGGAAACCCCGCGTGTCATTGAATTCGGTGGTTTCCTTCTCTGATCTCGGCGTCTTCCGCCTAGAGAGGGAGCCCGGCAGCTAGTGTGCTGAGGGAGGCGGTGAGGGGCCCGCGGGACCCGAGGGGCGTGTGCGGCCGGGAGGGAGTGGCCGGGGCCGGGGCGGGTGACAGTTGGGCGCCATGCGGGCTGCTCGCGGTCGCTCGGCCCGGCGTTCGGCGCGGGTCGGGTCGGGTCGCCGCTGTGCGCGGACGGCGCGGTGTGTCCTCATGCGGAGAGCTGCGTGTGCCGCCGGCGGGCGCACCCGAGCCTGCCTCCGCCGCCGCTGCGTTTGGTGGCCCCTGCCCTTTTCGGGGAGGTGAGGGCGTCCAGCGTAGCCGTGGCAGCGTGGCGGGCGAAGCACAGAATATGGAGGCTTCTCCCGGCTACTTTAGCTAGCAAAGGTGGTAGGGCAGAGTCGGGACGCACCCACAGGCCTCGCGTGAACAATCCATCCATCGGTTCGGGCACTGGGGATCAGGATTTCTCGGTGTTGGTCCTTTTGAAGTGGGCCCGTGTTAAAACTGGCTGTAGTTAGATTGATGGCCTCTGGCCTTGTCCCTGGTGCTTTTTCAAAACTCCTCCCCTTCTGCAATTGCTGTGGAGACTGATTTAGTGTAAACGGTTAGAATAGGGAAAGTCAAAGTGGGGGGGAGCTTAATGCCTTTACACTCAGGAATACCTTCTGCTTTTAGTCCTGAGGAAATCGAGATAGCTAGTCCTGAAAACAGCAGGTTGCCATTCATATTTTTCAGGTTGTTGTATGTGTAGAAGGGATATTTGGGTTTACGAGTAGTATTTCAAACTGTTCTCTTTTACCCCATCCCCAACCCCATTTTAGAACCCCCCACCCCCGTTCAGAGACCTCTTATGCAAAAGGCCCTGCTGAAACCTCCATTTTCTTTCAGATCTCTCCTACCCAGCCACAAAGTGAGGGAAAACAACTTTAAGGTGCTCTTTGGTCCTTCCCCCCTCTTTAAACTCAGAGGTATAATCATCCCCCAGGAGAGAGCACTCCTCAGAAGTTTAAATGGGTCTACTCATCCTGGCTGCTGCTGCTGCTTAGCTAATGGTGAACCTGCCGTGTGGGTTTTAAATCAGCCATGACATCAGGTGGTATTGGGTGCCTGAGCTGGCGTTTTTTGTCTTAAGTCCTGGGGCCCTTGATAGCTTGCGTCACTGGACTTTATTGATCGTGGGAAGAAGACAGCTTGGCTGGCATCTTGCCTTTCCCTCTGAGCATATACGCTGACTTGGTTTAAGTGCCCAAAGCAGAAGATTTGCTCCGTTCTTGTTTTTCTGGAATTTGAGGCAAGAGCCTATCTACTTGTTGGCTTACAATCTTTGGGATAGTTTTTGAGAGACTACCTGAAATACTTGAGTAGCGTATCTAAGCCTGTTCTTCGGGCTTCGGTGCTTTATGAGGAAGAATTCTATGGTTTCGATGTCTGTGCAGTAGGGTTAGGAGGTGGGTTTTTCTGTGGAGCCAACATGGATCTATCTCTAAGGTCTTTTCCAGCCCTAGTTTTATTTGTATCCTGGGAAAGTTTGTATGTGACACCAGTGTAGTGCCTGTGTGGTCTTGGGAAATTTTATGTTCTGCGATGCATATGTTTTTGGGAGTCTACTGACATTAGTGCCTCATAAGCAAGCTAAAAGCTTTCCAAAGCTTGCTGCAAATGCCTATTTTTAGCCCTCCTTTTGGCTCAGATGCTAGTGTTTTAGTTCTTTAAGGGACACAAGCAGTAACTAGTAATAAAATTTGTGTTGCAGTTTCTCCTTTCTGGTGGGATTCTCTTTTCTGGTTTAAGCTTCCACATGATAGGTTTGTAGTGTTTTTTGAGGTTTACATTTTGACTTTTTGGGCTCCTTTTTTCCCTAGAGTGATACACAGCAGTGGTGGCAAACCTATGGCATGCATACCACTGCCAGCTGTTATCCCTGAAAGCTCTAAATGATTCGCCATCACTGATACACAGCAAACACACAGCGATCAGATGGTAAGAGTACAAATGCTTGCTCTACCACTTACTGTGCCTTTGTGTGCAGGTTACTTAACCACTCTGTGTCTCACCGTCACCATTTGTGTAGTAGGTATGAATTTATGATATACCTGCTTCATGGGGTCATTGTGAGCTTTCACTGTGGTGATTCATGTAAATTATTTAGCCCATGCCCTGCATGTGGTAGCTGTCAGGGTGTCTAGGAGAGTGTGGGACTTTCTGGGACTTTTCTCTAGGTTTCAGTTTTTCTCCACCTATAAAATGAGACAGCTGGAGAATACAGACCTTTCCTCTTTTTTTTTTTTTGAGACCGACCTTCTTTTTTGTGTTGTGTTAGTACTCCTGAAGTAAGTGGGAGCTCCCTTAAAAATTAACCTTTGCTTGTCTGTAAACCCAAGGGGCATGTGTGGATATCCTTAAAGGTTGGTGACCCAAAGAATTGACAATTGACTTTTGCTTTTGGTTAAAATTTTGATTTGTCTGGAGGAGGGAGTCCATGTGTGCTGGGGGAACAGGGTGGCCTAACTGAAAATCTGTAGCTAATTCACATGCCCTGCCAGCTTTCACCCTACCCCTAGGGGTAGTTTGTTATATACTGTACTTACACCTCTAACCTGATGCAGTAAGAAAACTAGTGATAGAGTTAAGTAAAGATTTAAGATTTCAGTATTTATGCCTTGGGCATTTCTTTCCTTTTTTTTTTTTTTTTTTTTTTTTCTTTGTGTACCTATGAAGTACAGCTGATTTCACGAATTAAAGGTCATTAAAAGTCATCTTTGAAAAGCTGACCCATGGTTCCCTGGAGATCCTCAGGCACACCAACCCAGCTGCAGATACACCTTTTCTGTGTTCTTTCCTGGATTTGGGCCCTTCACCTGATTCCTCCTTGGCTGTACTACTTGTGTGTTGGTGTGTATCTGGGACTATCAGAACTACTTAACCCTGCCCCTCTTTCCGCAGCACAGGAAAGTGGACTGCAGGGAAGTCAGAATTCTGACAGTAAACACATATAGGCTGTACTTTAGTATCCCAGCTCTGCTGCATAATAAACTGAGCTTTTCTGAACCAATGTTGTTTCATCCTAAGAAGAGATTAATAATAGTAGTTATTTCAGAGTGTTGCGAAAATTAAAGTAGATGTTTGTGAAGCTCTCAGCAGAGTGCCAGGTACAGAGGTAACACTTAAGTGCTGCCCATCTAGTAGTTTTTATTTCAACTCTTTGTAACAAAAGATTAACATGATTTTATGAGTGTGAATTCCATTTTTGATCATGCTTCTGGCCAGCAAGGTTACACTAGCATTCCTTTTGCTTTCTTTACCTATTTCTTCGTCTGCCCAATGAGAGATTGAATGAAGTTGAATGCCAAAAGGTTGTTTTTTTAAGAATCAAAGTCATTTTCTGCTTCAGTAACCAACCCTCCCACCAAAGAGAAAGAAACTGAAATAGAGCCTTATGTGTGTCCCTTATGTTTGCCATTGTGGTGATGAACTCTGATTTGGAATCCAGGTTCTGAAAGCTGGAGAAAGGCTTTCGGCCTTAGGAACCTTATTTAATGGTGTTGGGTGCATGGTGGACCCCCTGCGCTGTACCTCCTCTTCCACCGTGATCATAAACAGTGCATACCACCACTTAGGAACATTTTTCCCACCAATACTGTACCCAATGATAATAAAACTAGATCTAACTCCCATTGTATAGGTGAAATGGGGATAGAGGAACAAATTAACTGACTGCGAGGTAGCAGTTATCCATTTTTTAAATGTGAGGAATTTTGTAAGATGTTTTTTCGATTAAAAAGTGGCACTTTTAAAAAGGGAAAATTGGGGCTGGGGATTTAGCTCAGTGGGATAAGCGCCTGCCTTGCAAGCAGGCAGTCGTGAGTTTGATCTCTGGTACCAATTTAAAAAAAAAAGATAAAAAGGGAAAATTATTATACAGAAAAACATGAAACCAAAGCAAATTATGTTGTGGGTCTTGTCTGGATTTTGACTGGGATCAACTAGACTATAAGAAGATATTTTGGGTTCTTTGGGTTGGGTTGAGAAAACTTGAGCGTTTTAGAATACATTAAGGAGTTCTCTTTATTTGGTTAGGGGCAGTAATGACATTATGGTCTTCTTTTGTGTGTGCAGGTATGTACAGTACTGGGGATTGAACCCAGAGACTTCTCCCTGAATTATATACTCCGTAATCTTACTTGTTCATTTTATTTATTTATTTATTTATTTTTGGTACCAGTCCAGAAGATGTGTTTCAAGTCATGACACAGTGCTTACCACTGAGCGCTCTACCCCTGCCCTCATTTATTTTTGAGACAAGGTCTTGCTAACTTCTAACTTCTTTGGGTTGGGTGGAACCTGCTGTGCTCCTGCCTCAGCCTCCCAGTGCTGGGAGTGTGCCACCTGGTT